GTCTGCCTTCCTTGGATTTCAAGAATATTTTAACACTCACTTCCTATCCTTGCAGTGGCAGGTTGTTGACAGTACCCTGGTGCCCATTTTGCCTTTGGCATGTTAGGGAGTTTTTGGGCAACATGCATGGTAGTTGCTCATGGGGGTGTTTATGCAGTTTTTAGAACAGGTTAAACAAACACGTGTATAGCATGGTTTAGACAGGGATATGTCTGCCTTCTGCAGGGGGTTGGACTAGACCTCCTGAAGACCCTTCCAGTCCAACTCCTGTATTCTGCAGAATACGGCGCTGTCTTGGGAAGGAGAAAAATGTGGGTTTCAGTCTTTATTCCAGTGAATGTGTAAGTATTTTAAATTAAGTAGCTCTTAGGGCTGCAGAGACTCCTTGCCTACCTTTTGGCAGCTGATTTAAGAAAAAAACTGCTATTTTTGTATAGGCTGCCCACCACCAGCTGAAGCAATGGTGTATCATTCTGCAAAATGTTAGGCAGGAACATGGGTCTTTCGAGGAAGCAAAACCTATTTATACTCTCCTGAGCATTCTGATAAGTTATGCCAAGTTGTGACAATGCAAAGAAACCAGATTACCTTTCCAAACCTCCTCAGCAAGCCTTCCACTGTCACTCCAAAAAAATATATATTTTCTTCAAGTAGCTTGCCACTTTCCTATAAGAAAAACCAGAACACGTATTAGAAATAATTAATGAATCCTAGATCCACCTTACACAAGTACTCTAAGAAATGACAGACACACTTCTTAAACAACTGCACAGTCATGGGACTAGCTATCCCTTGCAGGTGCATATAAGGCAGCAGCAGCTGTCATGAACTGCACTAGTTACTTTTAAATGGTTTTTAAATTTATGAAAGACCAAGGGGAATGTGAAGCTCAGTCAATTTAAAGCATCTTAACTGCTGCTGTACAAATGGGAAAGAAAAAAGAGAAGACAGACAGTTACATAGAAGGGAAGGAAATGCTGGCCTGATGCCCACCAATTCTACTGATAACATTAGGTATAGGCCCACACACAGCACATGACCAACTATGCCAAAAAAACAAAACCGTGGCGAATTTGGGGCTTCTTTATTTTTAAATAAAACACAGTTGATTTAACAAGTGCCACTTTGTTCTTGGGAGTCATTTTGCAGGCACTTATTTTATTTCAACTGCTCTTCCATGAAACGCACAGACACACATGTGGAAAAACATGATATTTTTATTGCCTCATTTAACATTTTAGTATTCACGGGACTTTTTATAATTTCTTATGCTAAGGAAAAGGACCAGCATCCTTAGCTAACATTAGTTATCTACAGTAAGACTATAATGTCTGTGATCAAATGCCATATGCTTTGAAAATCCTGAGAATCATGATTTTCCAGTGCTACATCTTATATACTAAGTGATTTCTCTCAATCCCTGGCACCCAGCAGGAAAACTCTAAACACAGAAAGTTTGACTTGTAGTAATTAGGGCTGTGTGATATTTCAACAGGTGTTTCATTTTGAAGCTGTTTCGATGCGTTTCGAGCTTGAAACAGTGAAATTGAAATGAAACAAAATGCTTTGGAACAGCTTCAAAACAAAATGAGGGCGCTTGAAATGTTTTGAAATTTCTAAATGTTTCGAGTTTTGAAGCAGGCCAGTGGCAGGAGGCAGGGGAGAGCCAGGGCTGCACTCTGAGTGGCTCCACCAACCCCACAGAGCTGAGCCTGGCAGCGGGAGGTGGCGGAGGAGCCAGTGGCGGAGCTCTCCGCCGCCTCCCGCTGCCAGGCTCAGCTCTGTGGGGCTGCGGAGCCTCCCACCACCAGGCTGAGTTCAGTGGGGCTGGCAGAGCTACTTGGAGTGTGGCCCTGGCTCTGAGCACAGCCCTGGCGTGCACAGCCTGGCAACGGTGGGCTCCGCAACCCCACAGAGCTGAGTCTGGCAACAAGAAGCAGTGGAAATCCAGAGACAGAGCCACTCGGAGAGCAGCCCTGGTACTGAACGCAGCCCTGGCCAGTGGCTCTCCACTGCCTCCTGCCTCCAGGCTCAGCTCTGTGGGGCTGCGGAGCCCCCCGCACCGAGCTGTGCGTTATTTATAAATAAATACAAAATATTTATTTTTATATATTTAAATATAAATAAATAAAAATATAAGTTCATCTCCAACAGTCTTCAGTACAAACTATGAATGACAGTCCAAAGCCAAAACCTTGTGATTTACCACAGTTCATTGGGCTGCTTTAAGCAGCAGTCAACAGCATTTCAAGCCACAGTGACCCTACAGCTCAGCATTGCTCAGTATCGCTCAGATATCCTCCACAAAAGATCCATGTGCTATTTAGCCCCCTACTCATGACTGGAACCAAGTGTTATATGCAGATGAGGCACAGGGCAACCTGATCTGCCTCTACCTCATGGAGGGAAGGGCCACACTAATTACATACGTGCCAGGCTGAGGGGGCGACAGATGGATTCTGGGTGAAACGTATGCAATGTCATGGCTCACCATGACTTGAAAAAGAGTCAGAGGTGAAGGGAGTGGTGCTTATTAGGCACTACCATATACTTTATTCTGATACGCTACACAAAGCTATTATTGGGGGGGTTCCCATCAGCATGTTTGTCAAATGTGGGCCATGTGTTTTATAGGCATGCTTAGTGTTGACTGCATTTAATCTACTTCATGGTTGGTTTCCATTGCTGAGCACGTGCTGTTTTTGGCAACAGTTTAATAACAAGCAATGGATTTAGTGAGATTTCCTTGTATGTAATTATAAGGGCTTTTTCCCTCGTACCAATTGGGTGGAAGTGTCTTGTATTCCAGCAAATATGGTAATATACCACCCACAATGAAAACAGAGCACAGTCTGTTGCAGTAAAAAGTACAAGTAACATCTGCTCATGCCTGTGACAGTGGAGATCAGGATGTACCTACCTAGGGGTAATCTTGCATTATTAAGCTCCCCTACATAAGTTGAATGTTAGCAAGCCCTTATATCTGAGTGCTATCCAGATCTAAAAAGTATTACCTGGAGGACTAAAGTATTTCACATATGATAAAAAACAGCTTGCTGCATTTTTTTATGATAGGCCACCAAAACTGTATTCTACTTTGCTGCTGTAACCAGGTCAAATGTGTGCCACTGTACCAAGGTAGCTATTTACAGTACAAAGGCAGTCCTTCTGACCATACATAAAATAGAAATCCTTATCTAGGACCAAAGTATTATTAAATAGGAGAGCAATTAAAGAAAGGGCAGGTGCAGTGAGCAAAATGGCATTGTGGGTGTACAAACAATGAACAAGAAAATGCTTCTGCTATGATTGATACAGAGTTAGTATACCCCAAATGTCATTTTCCTGTAAATGCCTAGTTTGTACACTACAACAAGAGTGGCCAACCTGAAGCATGCAAACCACAAATGCCACAGCAGCCTCTGTGTGGGGCACATAACAGATCTGGGAGGAGACAGAAACATAGCAATAGATACAGGATTTCACTGAGAACCATTTGAGACTGCAACAGGAGTATTCTTTGTAGGAGCAATATCTGGTAAAAATAGGATCACTGTACGCATTTCTGACACACAAAATTTGGAGATACGGCACTTGCCAAACACAGAACTGCACAGGGCAGCAGCAGTTCAGCTCCAGCAGGCAACTGGACAAAATTAAAAAAAAGAAGGCGAATACTCCATTTATCAGGTAAATACTTGTTTTAGAACACATCTTAACATTTTTATAACTCTTTCACCTAAACAACATACATCACATGTGCATAAAGTCCTCAGTCCTATAGTGACTTATATGCCTCTAACTTCAGAAACTTGAGTAGGTCCCATTCAGTTTAACTGGCCTACTCGCATGCTTAAAGCAAGCTACACTGGGATGTAATTCCATAACAAGCAATGGAAGGACCTCCCCCTCCATTCCCCCAGTAAAGATGCGGAAAGCCAGATTATCTACAGGTACACCACTTGTCTCAAGATAAACTGCAATCTGGTAACACCGGCCATTAGGTGTTTGGGTTTCTGGGTTTTGTTTTGTTTGGGGTTTGGTTTTTGGTTTTGGTTTGTGTTTGTTTTTTTTTGGGGG